TAATGAAAAATGAGAGAAAATTAAAATATTTATTCAACTTTTAAAAATCTTCTTCAAATATTCTGAAACCTTTTTTAGAGAATAGTGTAGTGTATCATTAGAAAAGTAACAAAAAGGAGTATCCAAAAACCATTAAAGAACAATGCCAAGTGTCCATAGTAACTTTGGCTTAATATAAAATGTTCACGGACAGCAATGAAAATAGTTTTATTGTGTGTTGTTATTAACTAAACATTTCCAGAACATTAAAAATTCTAAAGAACTTTGCGCAAAAAAATACTTCGATAATACAAATATGGAATTTTGAGGTTATTTCAATTTGACTATCACCCTGGCGGAGTGGCTTCCACACCGATTCTCATGGTGTCGCCATATCTGGATTCTCAGGTTCGCTACTCTGTCTCATTTATCCAGAAAAATAACTGTTTAACATTGTCTCGGGTCTGTGTTTGAGATTTACTAGTTGGTAGACTTATGCTATTTTATATGCGCATTGTGGTAGACCCAAAGTACGGTCGTCTGGGTTGGTAATTACAATTAATAATACATTTTGATGATTATTGGAATCATTTTAATGAATGCAATAAACTACTGATTCAAATTCACTATTGCTGTATTCTTTTAAGTTATCACATCAGTTATCAATGCCAGTGGGTCGTCTTGGAACTCCTTGTCTCTTTCTTTTTATTGCAATAAATCAGAGAGAAACAAAATGGAAACACAAATTATTTTTGTTAGATTTCCGGTCAGCTGTTTGTTTATTAATAAATAAATTCTATTGGAGATGTTCTCAAAAAAAGACAAATGTAATTTTAAACATTCGATTTCTTATGTTTCTTGTTCTATGTAAAAGACATGTTTTGTGCGTTTTATTTTATAATTAAAAGTTTTGTAAGCCAGAATCTGGCATTGTTCTTTAACTTTTTATTTAATTAAAATTATACAAACAACATTAAAATGAAAATATAATAAAAATACTTAATTAAGTCGTTATTAACAACAGATAATTTAGAAAGAAAAATGTACAAAAAGTATCTTACTATTAACTTAAGATCTAGTGTTACCCCTAGATAGATAGAAGTTGGTTATCTAGGGTCACGAGCAAACTGTAAGCGGTATCGCCGATGCGCTGCTGTCGATTTCGGACCCGTAGCAGCTCTGCGGGCCGCTATCTTTTTCTCCTTCAGTTTTCAAACCGTAGAGACGCTCACGGTGCGTCTACGAACTGCCTGAAGCTGCTTTTGCAACTCAACAGCGTTAGAGAGACGATTTCTCAGAGTTCGACAGAGACGACCTGTTCAACGGTCGTCTCTTTCTGAAGTGCAGTGACGTCTACTGGACCCATGTCTCCGGATATAGCCACCAGTCGCTATGAAGCGCTGGTATACTCTTCTAACGGAAAAACGGCTCAGGTTCAGTTGCCGGGCAACATCACACTGCCGCATCCCTGATTGAATAAATAAATAAATAAATAGTGCAACCACTTGAGCGGCTCATCAGCTGTGGTATCCATCTTCGAGGTGGTTTTTCTTCAGTAAAATTTGTGCGTGTGTCCTCTTCAACGGTTGAATAGCGAATGACCCTCATTGACTCCGTGTGGACCGTTTTATACCTACCCACATAAGGAAGCGCAACAAGCGACTCTCACGGTAGCAAAATTTGCATCGAATTTTTGTGACACTTTATTTGTTGCACTAGGTTTTATTTGATAATGAAAAGTAATGTTTTTTATTAAGTCAATTAAGTAACCTTTTAAATAAAATCATTATTAATGTGCATGTTATGACTAAATGTGCATATTAAGAGTTAATGACATTTGAAAGTGATTTTCTAAGAGGTGCAATTTTTATGACGCCGGGTGTATATTAATTAGTCACTTGCTGGAAAGTCGGGAATATTTCCGTTATGAGTCGGATTTCTATAGTAGACATGAAACTCCATAAGAACCCATTTCAAAAGAGTCATCAGATCATTGTACTTTGCAGTAGATATAGGTTTCTCAGTGTCTCTCACTTCACAAAACACCAACAGACAGAAGGTAAAACAAAAACACCGAAATGTAAACAAACAAGGAGCAAAGTGACAGACGGCCAGACATACGATCGCGCTACGACAAATCACAAGGTATCTCATTACACTTAAACTGATTCAGTGTTAGTCATTGGACACGCCGTGGCCGATAATGCCCAATATCGCTAATTTTTTGGCGCCATATTTTGAATAGTTCACATCCATAACGATTTATTTTTACATTGGCCCACCAATGCATTTACAAAGTTACTAAAACAAAAGGCATAAAGTCGTATATCTACAACCGTTTTAAAGTTATTAAAGGAATCTTAGATGCATAATATCGGAAGTTTAGTTACGATGAATATTTTAAATTACTGTTTGAACCATAAAGGCGTGACTCCTATTACGTAGCCTTGGTGCGAATATTTTTTTTTATGCATAAGGGCCAAACTTTCAATCCACCAAAAGAATAATACAGCAATGTAGACGCAGAGAGAAGGAAGTGAAAATAAAACCTTTAGGTTGTAATGACTTTAGAAAATCTGTAAGAACCGACATTATGCACGGAATTATCTCAGCCCAGAAAAGGGATAGAAATACAGCTCCTAGTGCTATGGAAAGAGAAAGAAGCGCTTTTCTTTGTTATTCAATAAAAAAAAATTGCCCGATATGCACTTCCGCCCATATGCATCTTAGCTCCAGTATTGTGATGCGACCGTCATGCTTAGAGTCGAGAAAGAATGCGTTTGTGTTAGGGCTAATTTTAGATTACCGCAAACATATCAAATGTTCCATTTCCGTGACGGTACTAATAAATATACTGTTATCTCTTTCTAGATAGAGCTTTTGGTGGGCCTTCCACTAACGACCGGGCTTATAACAAATGTTTGTAGTAATTTTAAGGGTCAATACTGTTACCGACGATTTATGAGTATCCATTTTGTATTATTATCTGTTGGTACTTTGTACAAATTCATGTACTTATGAGGGTTAAACTGTCTATTATATGAAGCTGTCTATTATGAAAACAGGTTCCCAATTCTTGATAAAAATACTGATAACAGTTAATGTTATATTTATAAGTATGAAATTACTCATTTAATACCATACTATACTAAAAATACGAAAATAAAACTAAAAAGTATTATTTTCGTGTTTTTAGTATAGTAAACTAAAAACTTTTCATGTGGTAATCTTGACCCCACCCAATTTCCAAATCATGAATCACATATTATTTTCTAACTTTTTAGTTTCATTTTCGATTTTGAAGTCAGTTTTAATTTTATTTCATCCATTTTTGTGAAAATTTAATCGTCCATGTAAACAGTAAACAAAGATGCATACAAAAACGAATTGGTGAAACTATTTTTTTATTTTACCAAACAGCAAATATTTCTTGTCGAACGAAAAAAAAGAATTACTTAGTTCGGATAGAAAATCTTTAACCAATCAAATCATATGAACAAAGTGTCGTGAAAATTACATCATCCAAGTAACAAAAATGCTTATAACTATTGAACCAAACTAATTTTTTCCAAGGGGCCAAATGGCAACTATTTCGCATCGAACAAAAATTAATCACATAAATCGGGACTGAATTGTCGGAGTTATCTGTGTTCATACATAATAAAAAAACATACCGACCGAATTGGAGGACTTAAAAAAGGCGAAGGTTCTCCTCCAAGGAAAGGAGAAGTCGGTTAATTAAAGGAATGAAGTAGGTAGTTTATTCCATGGTCAGCTAAATCACTATAATTGAAATAGGATAGCTAATATCGTTACCTCAAGGGTCAGTTATATCGCACTGATAGCGAAAGTCATTGGTTCGAATCAGTCTGATACCTGGATTAGGTTGTATTTTTTTCTAGTAATATGATGTGTAGATACAAAAAACAATGATCGAAATATTGATTTCAGTTTAAGACCAGCTAGCAACGGTTTGCGACCAGAGAGAACATTTTCGGAAATGATAAATGATTTAAATATATGCCGATGTGATTTTAAGTGTTAGTGTCAAATTGCGAGGATATATAAATAATGGTAGAGATTCGTGTAGGTACTACTCTCTATTACTATCCTCAACCCTGTTCCCTTGACTCGTATGTCCCGGCCTACCCTAATCACAGCGGAAATGGGACTATATAAAATAATGATGACAAAGAACAAATCCCTAATGGGTGCTTAAATTCCAGCGGAATGCCCTCTGTGTTGAACTGCAATTGAAAGCACCAGGGTTCGGGAATTCTCGACAATTGCAAAGTCCCGGGTCGTCCCGGGACTTCAAGACTTTTAAGAATGAAATTTGAATTGAGCTAATTACAGGTGAAACGTATTAATGAAAAGGCAAGTTTTAGTAAAAATCAACATTTATTAAACATATAATTTTAATGTTCGCGAACCCCGAGTTCCAGCTCTCATGGGATGACGTTTATTGTAAAGCGACACTTGAACTGCTTACTGGTGGTGCCACGGGAGTAGGGTCCAGATTTGTCCGGACATTCCCGGAATTTTTGATTATTGTCCGGACTTTGTCCGGCTTTTTAAATTGACCGGATTTTTTAAATTTTAGAGTAAGAGATATGAGTAAACTACTAATTTACTTATATCAAATAAGTAAAATAATCTTTATTAAGTTCTCATTAATTTAAAACAAAATATAAATTATCTTTAAAAATCAACAACGGGACCCCTCTTGCGATGCGAGCGTCTGCTACCACGCGTATAATATCACTGTAACTAAGTGGGTGACGTTTGCATTTTGTGACTAAAATGTCCGGACTTATAACGAAATGTCCGGCTTTTTGTCAGGACTTTTCCAATTTTTAAATAGGAACCTTACACGGGAGTCGATCTGGCGAGGCTTTTGGTGGTGTCGCGGCCTGAATCCGGGGCGTGGCTGCACGCGTTACCTTCGCCACATATGGGCACTTTACTTGACGGTGACTCCTTGTGGGTGGCGGTCGCCCTCCGCTTGGACTGTGATGTATGTCAACCACATGTATGCATCTGCGGTACCATGGTGGGAGCCGTCGGCCATCACGTATTAAGCTGCCATCGATGTACAGACAGACAGCAACATCATCATGCTCTCAACAACATAGTATTGAGAGCTCTTAGGTCGGCCGGCGTTCCTTCTGTCCTCGAACCACCAGGTCTCAGCCGCACAGATGGAAAACGGCCTGATGGTTTAACATTGGTACCGTGGGCGAAGTAACGATGTTTGGTATACGCCATCTTCGTCTCGCGCGTCGCTGGCGCCGAAGGCGCCGCGGCGTGCGGGGAGACTGGTCTGGGCCGGTTGGCCCACTGCAGTGGTGTCGGGTTCGCATCTCGTCTTCGGGACGAGACGGTCAATTGGGGCTGTATCCCCGCCTCCGCTTCTTCACACGTCGCCCTCGGCGCGGTCAAGCCCACCGGGTGAGACCCATGAGGGAGGCCCAGTGAGCGACCAGCGAGCGGGCGACGGACTTCAGCGGGCGGGGGTGGTGTCATATCCGGGGGTAGGTGTCGAAAAAATTTTTTCGGACGGCCCGAACTTTTTGGGAAAGTCGGTGAGCAGGTCCGAAAGCTGGAGCAGCAGGCGGGTGGTTGCGTCTTGGGGTGGGCGGCGGCGGAGTTGGTGTGTGGTTGTCATCTTTGGGTGGTGGGGCTGCGGGGGGCGTGTTCGTCGGCGACGCATCGATCGCTCGATGATGTCTGCGGCGGCGTCGTTTGGGGCTGCTAGTGTTCGAGGGAGGAGCATTCGCGGGGGCCATCAGTGTGCTCGCTCACCTCGGTTGGGTGTTGTACGGGTGCGGTGGGCGGGCGGCCTGTGTGGGCCACTGTTGTGGCGCGTCTGTTGCGCGTCTCGCGCTGGAGCGCGGGGCACGCGCTGTGGTTGGCCGGGTGCGCGCCCGCGCAGTTCACGCAAGTTGCGGGCTGCGCAAGCGGGCGGGGGCAGTCGGCGGCAGCGTGCGGCTCGCCGCAGCGCACGCAGGCAAGCGCGCGGTGGCACGCTGGAGTGGCGGAACCCCTGGCAGCGATGGCACTGCGCGGGGCCCTTCCGCCCTCTCCAGGCTTCAATAGTGATCCCGGACATGCTCAGGAGGTCACTCACTGAGTAGATCGCCGGGATGAGGTCTGGTGTTCGACGGAGCGCTGCGAAGTATAGCGAGCCGGGGCGGCCTGCTCGCACCCGGATCTGTTTCGAGTATTCGAGCTCGAAACCCTTCTCTGCTACTGCCTCGGCGATGTCATCGTGTCTGGTGTCCACAGGCAGCCCACGTATGGCCACCTTTAGGCTGCGGTCTTCTGGACGAGCGTGGGCGTACCAGCTCAGTCCGGTCTGCTCGGAGAGATAGGCCCGAACGAGCCGGCCCTCGACGTCGTCTTGCGGGGTGAATCGAACGCCCGTACCGAACGGGCGCACGCTGGGAGCTCGGCCGAGTTGCTCGTGGATCGCACGCAGGTGCTTCGGCCAGTCCCGCAGCTGCTCGACCACGATCGGCGGGTGGGTGTTTGCGGACCCGTGGGAGCGTGGGAGTGCTGCGGGAGGCCGGCTGCGCGGTCGACTCGGCGGCGGGTGTGTAGGTGCGAAAAAACCTGCGGCCTGGGCATAGCTTACCGACTCGGTGTGTGTCGGCAAAGCAGTTGGCGGCTCGATCAGTGGTTGTTCGTGGGCGGCGGGGGCGTCTTCTTGTGGGAGCTGGTCTTCCTGTTGCTGCGGTGCTGGGGCGGTTACTTTAGTAGGTAACGGGGACTGTCTGGGTGCGGGTGAATCTCCTACGCTGCGGGATCGGTGGAGGCGCGAGGCGCGCGTGTATGTCGCGCGGCAGCGTCCCTCTTCCGGTTTTGACCCGATAGGCGTCAGGTAGAACCATGTTGCAGGTGGTAGCGTGAGCGGCTGCGGGTCGGTATATCTACTTGCCTCCAAGATTGGTTCGTCGTTGGGGCCGTAGTCTGTGCTGGAGCTTGGGTCCATTTCTGCTAGGCGGATGTAGGTGTAAAGCCACTTTTTCAGCCCGTGCGTTATGAGGCCGGAGTCGAAGAGCCGCCAGGCCATCACCACGTCCAATTCATATTGGACTCTTGGCGATGCTGAGCGGCTCATTTTGGCCGCGGACAGGGCCATGGCTTGGGCCAAGCTTGGGATTTGCAGCGACATGGGCGGTGCGGCGCGATGTGGGGCTTACGTCTGCGCGATCATTGACCGAGCGGCGCCGTGCGGCGCGCTCAGGCCTGCAGCTGGAGGGTGCGGTGTCCACGCTGGCGCGGAGGCGCCAGGCAGTGCTCTCGAGGTGGAAAAGCGCAGCTTTTCGTCGGAGCACTTGTAGGGGTTTACGATCCGTGCGCGGTGACGTAAATTGCAGTCCACGATGTTTGGTGTGGGACGCGAAGTATGGCAGCACTTTCGACGCTTCCCACATCGGCTGCACGACACGTACTGCTGGGGCGGCGGCTGAGTATCAGATGGCGGCGAAGCACTTAAAATATTCGTCGTTGGGGCGTACATTTTTGTGCCTCTGGTGGTGGAAACGGCGGGTTGTTGGAGCGCAGAAGCCAAACAATTTGTGTGGGATATGGGCCGCCAACTCAGCACAAAGACTGTCTATTGCCATCCAGCGTGGCAATGCTGCAAGCATAATGGGCACCTTTACGCCAGAAACGATTCGGGGTGATATTTGACGATGTTTGGATGAATGGAATTGTAAAAAAGAAATAAAATTGTTAATAAATAAAGAAATGTTAATTTAAGTTAAAATAATTGGTATGTTTAGTGGGTTGCGCAGATGACGAACTTTGTCCGCGGAGGACATAAGGCCCTAAATCGTAACAAAATGTCCGTAGAGGATTTGTCACGGACTCAACGCAGACGGTAAACGAACATTTGTTGCCCGAAAACTTACAAAAGAGTAAGCTATGGAAGTGAATATTCTCAGATTACGTTGTGTAATTAATATGAAGTGTAAGAAAAAGAGAAAACGTTTTGAAAGAGAATACTGGGTCCATCTCCTTGCATCGAATCGAGCACGCAACACGGACTAAACTTTGCTGTGTGCGTTGTTACGTCCAGTAACTGAGTTAAATTTTTTCCGGGGATATCCCTGTACTTTTGTCCAGTACGGTACGGTATCTTGGTGCTCTCGGTTATTTGGCGACTTTTTGTACGCGATACTTTTAATCCGTCATGTGCGTTACTATGATCACATGTTATCAGAAACAGATTCACTTTTTGTCATACCACCAATATGGTGGCGCGTCAAACACATTTATTGTGCGTGTGTACTCAGCAGTTACGCAGTAGACCAAGTAATTATTTATTAAACTTACAGAGAACGCTTGACTCTTTCAACTATTTGAAAATAAAAATGATTACAATACAATTTCTCGTCTTCAGTCTCGACCCGAAAGTTTCAGGACCCGAGACAACAAAATTTACAAAAAGTCTCGGGACTGCGAGACACGAGACATCCCGGGATCTAAACCCTATCCCGCACCAATCCGCACTGGGTCCGCGTAGTGTGTCAAGGCCCGTGCTCCCTATTACATCCGAAGGGATGGCCTGTTCCCCATTTAGCGTTGGGATCCGTCCGGATAAAGACTGACAGTGTTAGGCTTTTTGATCTCTTGTCCGGGCTAATTTGACTGTGTCCGGCCCGTCCGACTTTTGTTAGGCTTTTTTTCTTTAGACGCGAGCAAGTCGCAAACACACTTCACGAGTTCACCCGTCGTCAAACTTTCTTATAAAATATATTTGTTCCATTTGAACCTTTAGTCAAAAATCCTTTTTTTGGCTGGCTCAACTGGCCGTGGTGGTGCCCAAAAATCCGACTTTTTTTAACAGGTTTTCTGATTTTTAGAGATGTCAACGCTACCAGTGCAGTGGGACTTTTATAGGCCATCGCTGACTCGCTGTGCTTTAAATTTAATGTGATCCAATTGTGTTCTGACGCTATCACAATTTTAACTGAGATTTTATCCTTGCCAACATTGGATTAAGACTGACATTTCATTGAACATTGTTTCAACGGTTTGCTTGAGTGCACTGAATTGTGTTTGGAAGGTTGTGTCAATAATATCTTTGTACAAAGCCTTGGAATTGTAATGCAAATATCTGGTCTGCTCCGCTGTGTTTGAATGCTTGCTCCAAACAAATTTTGTCTCGCTTATATACGCGATAAACTCTGTTTATCATGGAATATTTCGTTCAAGCAAAACCTCTTTCCCTGTTGTGTGATGAAATTGACAGCAATTTTCAGTGAACATTGTTATTTAAAAATAAAACAGTTTCTTATTTCAAGTTATTTTAATTACGTCTGAAGAATAAATAAATTCCAATAAATTCAAATAAGTTTATTATGATTTCGTCATAGTTCTAATTTAATAACTTAAACAAAGTATATTAAAACTCTGTTTAAGTTTGTTACATAATATAAAAATGTAGATATGCAATTTGATAAAATAACTTATTTTGTTGACAAGGGAAGTAATAGATTAACGTTATTTTAGAAGTGTTAAACGGCTACAACCCGGTTACAATACATAAAATATATGTTTCGAAGATGTCTCAATACATAACCTTATTTTAAGTTTGACTATCCCTATTGAATACCATTGGGATAACCCATTTCAGAATGACATTTCAGATAACTATAAGACGTGCTCCACGGGGACTGCAAGTCAATTGTCAAATATCAAGATAACTCTATTGTGCAGAGGATATTGAGAAAGCGTTCTACAGCGCTAATACTACATAATACCGCAAGTTAGCGTTATAAAACCATTAAAAAAATCTAAATCAAAAATCATTTATTCAGTCTACGCTGTTACAAGCACTTACCATTATTAGTTACCATCAATTTTACTTAGACTATATGTCAAGGAAAGAGAGGCTTTTTTTATTTATTTTATAGCGAGGTAGGCAAATGACTCTTTTCGAACTAATGTTAAGTGATGATAAAGTCCAAACGCGAAGATAGCTGGTACAGCAGTTATAAACTGCTACACCAACTATCCTTATGTTGTCGGCCTGCAAAAATGCTTCTTCATGTCTCTCTTAAAGGACCCCAGATTGTAGGAAGGAGAGAACACGTGCGCGGGCAAAGAATTCTACTTACGAATGGTACGATAAAGAAATGAGTCACCAAATTTCTTTGATTGTGTAGGAATACTTTAGTTTTTCAGGGCGGATTCCGAACTTAATCTTAATTATTGGACCATTGTGCGTGTCTCAAAACATTCCCGTTTACTCCAGCCAGCCTATATTGATCCAGAAGGAAAGCAGCCTCGATAGACTGCTGCAAGCTTCCGGAAACAATTTTGGCAACTGGAGAAGTCGTGCCCGTTGGAAGGCCACGCTCCTGTATTCCATGATGAGATGCTGTGGCGTTTCTTCTGCCTCCATGCATCCTCTGCATAGGGGGCTGTCTGTTACTCCTATTGTATATAGGTGTTTGTTTAGGGGACAATCACCAGTCAGGGTTCCTATCATCTTGCGATGTTTGTCCCTATTTAGTCTGGTAAGGGTGCGGGCAAGTCTTTTGTTTACCGCCGGAACCGCGTTTATCATTTGCCGGCATCCTTTATCTGTTTTCCACTCTGTCAAGTGTGATTTCTGAGTTATTTGACACAGCCACGTTTTAATTTGGGTCTGAGGTATGGGCAGCAAAGGTTACGGACCATACACTTTTGTGTCTGTTCCCCTCTTAGCCAGTTCGTCAGCTGCGTCATTTCCAATTGAGCTGCTGTGTCCTTTTATCCATTACAGAGTCACCGTGTTGCTTACCGCAATGGATTGAAGTGCCTTGTGGCACTCCATTACCAGGAAAGAGTTTATTGTGTTGCTGCGTAGGGCTTGAAGTACGGATGCACTGTCAGAGATGATCTTGATGTTAAACTCTCTGATATCTCTAGCTGCAACTGCCTGTGCCGCTCTGGTAATGCCAATACATTCCGCCTGGAATATTGTGCTTTGTTTGCCTAAGGTTGTAGATATTTTTATATTCAGGTCATTTGAGAAGACACCGGCTCCAGTACCACTGTTGGTTTTGGAGCCGTCCGTGAATATCCTAACTTAAAAGCGCCAGAGTAATGTGCCTTTTCCACGGTAAGTTGGATGTTGTATATTCCATCAAAGACTGACTTTTGACGTTGACTCAATATTCTATCCATAGGTGCCTCCAGGAGTGGGTTCTCCTTCATGCACTTTTGTAGAATATTGGAGTGGGTTGTTACAATATTTAATCTCCATAAGCCCAGAGACTTTAGTCTCAAGGCTGCTGCTTTCGCCTCTTCTTGAATGACCAGGTCCAGTGGTCTTATATTCATGAGGTACTCTAATGCAGCCGATGGAGTCATGCATCCAGTTGCTGCTACGCTCGCCAACCGTTGTAGACTTTGGAGTTTGGATTTCAGTGTGGTCAAATTGGGTCCTGGGTAGGGATGCAAAGTCTTTTGAAATATCGATATTGATATCGATATTTATATCGAAGTCAGGAAAATATCGATATCCGATATATCGACCATTTTAACTCGATAGTATCGATATATCTTATATATTTTCTCCTTTTTATTTTTTATTGACATTAGAATACGGGGTGAGTGAAATACATTCATATGTTTGATAGCGAGTTTCTCGCAAAATGCATTGAGTCAGCTTTTTCGTTAAACACGCTTGATGAAATCGCGCAAAGCAGGATATTTTTTTATTGGCTCGCACGGTTTGTGTTTCAGCCATGACAGGAAACCAAAAAAATTAAATTATTATCCTGATCAGATCACTCACATTCGTTAGCACGAATGCGCCAATCCGCATATGTGGGACGACATTTGCGAATGCCTTCGCTAAGTTTTCACTACATTCGTGCTTTTCCAAGCTATGTCGGTTTTTAGTGCACATCAAATACGCAAATTGCTTAGTCTCCCACACATCAGGGGCGTGCCCATGGCTTCAGAATAGGGTAAGCCCAAAGCTTCCAAAATTACTATACCTATCTTACTTTCTTGACTTGGCGAGTTTAAAAAAAATACGATTTGTACAAGATTCTTAATTTTATTTTGTGTTATATTACAATGATATTAAATTTCAATTAATTAGTAGTTGACAATTATCTAGAAAGACAGGCAAGGATTTTATTTAAGTGCATGAGATACCATTTGGTATACGATTATACTTATATATGTTGGTGTCGATTCTGGCATGATTATCTAAACTTAAAAGTAAATTTAACATCAGTCTCTCCTTTTCATTTTGTATAGAGAATGACAAGGATACACTGTTGTCAAATTTAATTTTAGGTTTAGAGAATCATGCCAGAATTCACACCAGTTTAGTATATTTCTTGGGGTTCAAGATTTTTTTAATACATCTATAAGCTCTTGCGATTTCAAAGCAATAGTTATTTCGATATTATTCAATTTAGATAGTCATATCAGGTAAATTAATTGATATTATTGTGTTCAAATTTAGTATACGAAATATCGATATTTTGGAATTACCGGAAATTCAAATCAGTGAATTTTAAATATCGATATAAATATCGATATTTTGGTCTCGATATTATCGATATTCCGATATATCGTTGCAACCCTAGTCCTGGGCCACCAAAGAACTGAACCGTAGGTTATAGAGGGCCTGATGACGCCGGATTTCAAGGTGTCGCCCACTTGAGAGGTCCCGGGTTCGA